CCCCACACCCCAATACTATGAGATTTCCCTAAAACTAGCGTGGGGTGGTGACTTAACAGAAAAGAACCAAACGTCGCTCTCACCGCGGTATGCCTGAAAGAAACTCCATCTCTTGCCAGCTCTCCCGCAACGTGCACTTCTCTAGCAAAGGTGTCACCAATATCCCGTGCGCATCTTCGTGCTAGTCGGCCCCTGCCCCTCTTTTCTGGCACCATTCCTTCTGCTATTATTTTCTTCCAATCCCCCGCGCCGCCTGATATGAACACGAGCTCAGTTTCCGAAAAAAAGGTGCTGTTTACTAGCTAATCTTCCTTGATATGGCCACAATAGTTCGGTTTGAGAGACAAAATGCTGTTTTCTAGTTAATCTTCCTTGATATGGCCACGATAGTTCGGTTTCCGAGACAAGATGCTGATTACTAGTTAATCTTCCTTGATATGGCCACGATAGTTCGGTTTCCGAGACAAGATGCTGATTACTAGTTAATCTTCCTTGATATGGCCACAATAGTTCGGTTTCCGAGACAAGATGCTGTTTACTAGCTAATCTTCCTTGATATGGCCACAATAGTTCGGTTTGAGAGACAAAATGCTGTTTTCTAGTTAATCTTCCTTGATATGGCCACAATAGTTCGGTTTCCGAGACAAGATGCTGTTTTCTAGTTAATCTTCCTTGATATGGCCACAATAGTTCGGTTTCCGAGACAAGATGCTGATTACTAGTTAATCTTCCTTGATGTTCAGATCTCTAAGGATGTCAATATTGCTGTTCTTATGTGTCCTCTTTCTACGGCAAGTCTACGATGGCAGACAGTAACAGGCAAGTTTCCCCTCCTCATTTCTGCAGATCTCACCTTCATGGCCGAAGTGACTTCCAAGTTAACGAGTTCATGACGGTACTTGCAATCTCCAGTAACACGACAATTCAATACCCCGTTGTGTTGTGTGCATGTTACCCAGGCCTAGGAGACTTTTCCGCCATCCCATATTATCCTGTACAATTGTATATCATTTATGACATCCAGCTCTGGTGTCAACCAGATGAAAGCTACAGACATTCATTCTATAAACGTTTGAAGATTGGCTGTCGTTTAGAGAGAACGACCACGGACGGGGATCGGCAGAGAAAAGGGACGGGGATCGGTACAGAAAAGGGACGAGGATAGGTAGAGGAAAGGGACGGGGATCGCTAGAGGAAAGGGACGGGGATTGGTGGAGGAGAGGGAAGAGGATCGGTGAAAGAGAGGGAAGAGGATCGGTGAAAGAGAGGGACGGGGATCGGTACAGGAGAGGGACGGGGATCGGTACAGGAGAGGGACGGGGATCGCTAGAGGAAAGGGACGGGGATCGCTAAAGGAAAGGGACGTGGATTGGTGGAGGAGAGGGAAGAGGATCGGTGAAAGAGAGGGACGGGGATCGGAACAGGAGAGGGACGGGGATCAGTAGAGGAAAGGGACGGGGATCGCTAGAGGAAAGGGACGGGGATTGGTGGAGGAGAGGAAAGAGGATCGGTGAAAGAGAGGGACGGGGATCGGTACAGGAGAGGGACGGGGATCGGTGGAGGAGAGGGACGGGGATCGAAGAAGGACGAAGAAAGAGAAAGGCCATCAAGAGGGCAGTCTACTTTCTTACATTTGTCAATGGTCTATTTTCATCAGTGACTCACAGCGCGTTCATCCAGTTGATTAAGTGATAGCAACGCTAGGGTCGTCAATGAGCACAACCTTTCTGCCGGCAAAAATCCGTGACCAAACCACATGTACCCTCATCTGACCCAAAAGGATCTCGGGTCTCTTTTCAGACCTCTAACGTAAAACAGAAACATCAAACTTCATTGTTAAGTTTAAATGTTTGCCCAGGGATTTCATTATCATAATTCTATCTGCGCTGAAGACTGCACCCCACTCCCCAAAAACCCGGCTTTGCCACGTAAGGCACTGAGAATTTCCTTCCAAGTCGGAGTGCATCTGCCTGAGAGACAATAAACCAACAGTAGTGCGCATACGAAAAACTCAGACATGTAAAACCGGATGTGCACGCAAAACTCAAGTTCTGGAACAAGACCAAAACCAAATCAAAATTGGACAAACAACCAGAAAATGTCGGCACAAAGTTACAGAAGGTGAACACAAGGAAGGAGAAAAAAGAAGAAGAAGAAAAGAAGAAGACCGCAACACTGACGACACACGCAGGACAATCTAGCCAGTACTGCTACCGAAGCCTCTTTTCTCCATATTATGGCGACAACAACAATATTAATCCCAGGAAGACTGGGAGAGATGACAAGCCTGACCTGAAACCCAATTATACGGCCCATATAAAGCCCAGATAACCAGGCAGGAGATCGGATTAGGGCTCTGGCTGACAGCTGGCGTGTCCGACCGTCATCCAGCGATTTGACAAACTAGCCAGTGGCATGCAATGCCAAAGATGGCATTCACCTATTATGTGACCGGCGGCTCCCATAGAGCAGGCATTTATTTGTAGCCTATGCTCCAAGTCGGAAACTGCCTTCAGTCAGCACCGACCTTTCCGTTTGTCCCCGTGTTCTTCAACTCTTTTTTGCTTATTATATCAGCAAAGCACACTGTTTATCTTCTTCTGATAGATTCTTAGCTGCTGACTATATGTGGAACCGTTGGGTCTTGATTTTCACAACGGTATTCCACGTGTGGGTTTCGGGGTCCATATGGGCAGAGGGAGGGGGAGAGAAAAATACTCCAACTAGCCCTCTAAGAATCACGTCGTACTAGGCGACTAAAATATGGGTTTCTTTTTGCCTGTGAGGAAGGAAACCAACAGTTTGTATACAAATAAGCCATATCTGAAAAACGTATGTGCACGCAAAACTCAAGTTCTGGAAGAAGAGCAAAAGTCCAGAAGTGGACGAACAACCATAACTTTTCGATGGAGTTTACAGCCAGTGAACGCGAAGAAGAAGAAGAAGAAGAAGAAGAAGAAGAAGAAGAAGAAGAAGAAGAAGAAGAAGAAGAAGAAGAAGAAGAAGAAGAAGAAGCAGACAACAGTATAAGTACACTGTGGTAAAGAAGAACAGCCAATAACACATGTCGCGTTGCTTGGAACAGAACCAGTTATAGAGCATAGAGTGGACTAGTGTAAAACTAGCTAGCTAGCTGCTGCAGGGCGGGCGGGGGCAGACCGTTCGAATGGAAGCTTCACACTGAATGATCGCTTCAATGGATCATCTGACAGGTCAAGGGTTACACTCTTCATGTCGACATCATGTCTATTGTCCAAGTCTAAGCTCAGGTGGATGATGCATTTTCTATTCATCTCTTGTAAAGCTCAAGTACGTGTGTGTGATGCAAATATGTGTGTGTGTATGGAAGGGGGGGGGGGAGAGAAAAACACAGAGAGGTAGAAGAGAGAATGTTACCGATGTATAGAATAAGAGTAGAAGAAAGGGACACACACACACACACAAACAGCGGATACAATAGAAGACAGTGAGCAGGTAGAGACAAAGAGAGAGGTGACAGACAGAGGGAAAAGGAAGGAGGAGGAGGTCGGTGGGTAGAGGTGGTGGTGGTGGTGGAGGGTGGGTGGGTGTATGGTTGAGTCTAATCATCATCAAATGACCTATGGACAGGAGTAGAGGGTCATCGTTCATGGCCCCTCAAAATTTCCCAAACACGAGTCAAGTCAGTTTTCTTCTCCCAACCCTGCCATGTGTGCAAGCACACATTCTGGCACATTCTCCAATATCACCACCATGTACTGTCATCAAGTGATCAAGTGTCATCTGCTGCAGTAATCACCACAGATGACTGGCTACATATTTCACTAGAAGACCGCAAGTGTGGACACTCACTGACAGCTGACACGTCTATATTACTGACGTCATCAATATATTGCACTGTACTCTGTGCACACCAATAAATGCTCAGTCTCACCCAGCAGCTAATGATAAGTATGTATACTATTTTCTTCCAGCGAATGGAGAAGGCTCAGCAAGCAAATCACTGGAAAGACTTTTTATGCCTGAATTGGCTAAAAGGAAATAACTGAGATGGCATTTTTTTTTAAAAACCAGAATGATGGCGGGGTGTTATTTCAAAATGACCGATTGATTCAGGGAGGGCACAACTGTGTGAAACCATCACCATCATCATCTGGCATGGTGTTTTAGAGAATATCCCTTCCATGAAGGCAAAGTGGGGCAGCAAACAGTAGCACTCTAATGTACCTTACAAACCTAGCTAGGGGAGGTAGCTACTGAGGTATTGATCAGACTGTCTAACTCCTCCTATAACCCATCCCACACAAAGCTAATGGAGGCCTATGCTTCACTGGAAGCAGCACTGAAAACAGAGATGGGTAACTCTCAGTATACTGTATGCCAATAGAAGTGGCTCACAAGCTGGCCCACAGGGACACCACTTCCCCCACAGTGAAACCACTCTGCCCACAGGGACACCACTCTGCCCATAGTGACACCACTCCACCTACCAGGACACCACTCCGCCCACAGTGCCTCTAAGCTTTTAGTTCCGGTATTTCTGGAAGCCATGTCTAGCATCTATGTGTTGATATTTGGTAACATGATTAGTGATCAGCTGATCTCAAACGATAGTTCTTACTGTCACCAGTTTTACTCACAAACCTGATCTTCTACACTGGAGAGTTTCTAGGGTCAAACTTCAGAGTTGAGAAAGTCACTGGCTTGCACAGCAAGAACAATACCATCAAATAAAGAGATGAACTAAACACACCACGACAAAAATTTAAAGTTCACAAATCAGAGGGAAACGAAAGAAACATGAAAAGAAAAGTATAAACATGAAGAAAAGATACAGGAACCTAAACATTAAAAAAAAAACACAGGGTGATACAGTATAAAAAAATGAGGTAAAGAGGTTTTTAAAAAACATAAAAGGGATATGGTAGCGCATTAAGCAAAGACACAATAAAATTGTACACAATGAAAACAATGCCACAGCTGTCACAGCAACAAGAGTGAAAACAATCAAACCAACAAACAATCAGAAGACTCACCACTGTCAGCTCCACCCTCTGTCGCATTCATCTCTGCCAGCTTCTTCTCCAGCTTCTGCTGCCGCCTCCTCCTCATCACCGCTTCAGGGTTAGAGATACTCCTGGTGAAGCTGGTCTCTGGGGCTTCCTCATACAATTTGTTAGCCACACTCTCCTCTCCATTGACATTCTCCTTCCCTTTCTCTCTCTCCTTTTTTCTTGATTTCTTTCTTCTCTCTCTTAGAAAGCTTTCTCTTGAAGCCACTCTGGTCTTGCTGGAGAACGGCTTTGTCGAAACCAAGGGCAGGGTCCTGAAACAACAAGCACCAAGACTGAAAACTGACAAACTCATCTCCATGGTGACTGATCAATAATCTTATATCTCTTACCTTCCCAACATGGAAAGGGCCCTTAACCAACCTACAAAAAGCCTTGTCTAGGGTTGTAATGACAGAATGTACCATCAGAGATACTATCACATGTCTGCTGCAGTGGAGGATTGAGTAGACATGGGAATCTGCAATGTGCCCATCAATAGTGACAACACATAACTGATGCGATTGTTTTAGCTCCAGTTTTCTTTAGTGTCATGAGTCAGCCAGGCACCCACGTCAACCTTTCTCAGTCAACTCTGGCAACATACACAATAAGTTAGGATGCCAATATTCTTGGCTTCATGCCCAGTTCTTGTGTAAACTAGCTCTCTTAGTCATTTCATTTTACAGCTACAATGTTGGCAACACTTTCCACTTGAGCAGCCCTTCTTAAAGAATCAAATTCTATGGCACAGCCCTTTAGGCCTAGCACAGCCTATGTCTGACAAGTTAATGATCAGAAGTCATGATGAGGACCTGAGGAAGAGGGGCTAGATAGAATGGGATTTTAAAGTTAAATAAAGAGATATCCAAACTATGTCAACACTACAGAAATCCACCGTGAGGTCACACCCTGTCCACTGGTCAGCTGCTATTTGTTTTGAGGAGATTCCAGGAATCCTCACAGTAACAGTGTTGACAATAAGCTAGAAACTACATAAATGTGCCATTCCAAGATATCACTTAGACGTTCAGTTCCAGCAAGGTCGTGTGGCATACGGTATGGCAGACTCCTCACTCTCGTAGTCTGTCAAGAAATTTGGAACCAGTGCAAGCAGACTATGTTTTGTTTTTTGAACTTTAATTTCATTTTTTTTTTTTGTCCTGCAGTGGCCGCAAAGCCCCTAGGAAGAGGAGCAGTGGCTTGGAACCACTGTAATACAGTATGAGGAATTTATCTCATGCTAAATAGTGTTGTCTGAACAAGAACACAGACCTGATCTCAGACAGTATGATCTGGCCAAATAGCATCATCTGCACAAGAACACAGACAGGATGATCTGACCAAATAGTGTCACACAAGAACACAAGACCCAGACTGCATGATCTGACCAAATAGTGTCATCTGTACAAGAACACAGTCCTGATCTGACAATTCTGTGTGATATCAACAATGATCAACTATGCTGATAAGAGTGGCACATGATGATGATGTCTTTGAGAAGAGGGTAAATAAATATATAACATAAGCAGAATTGTCATATGTGAAGAGCAGTATGTGCTACATGTACTAACTAGTGCCTACAGAGAAAGCTGATGACACGTCTCTATTACCAGATGTATCTCACATGACAGTGGCACGGAACTCACTCACCCTTACATAACAGTGACACACAACTCACTTACCCTCACATAACAGTGGCACACAACTCACTTACCCTCACATGCAGTGGCACACAACTCACCCTTACATGACACACAACTCACTTACCCTTACATGGCAGTGACACACAACTCACTCATCCTTACATAACAGTGACACACAACTCACTTACCCTCACATAATAGTGACACACAACTCACTTACCCTGACTGTGGGGTGGTCTTCATTTCTCAGGAGGAACCTGCCTTCCCGCACATCACTGCCCCAGTTCAGCTGCACATACAGCGGCTTCTCGTCGTCTGCCAACCTTCGCTCCTCTGCGACACACACATTATTCAACACGTCAACGCTTTTTTCACAAACCAACATCATTACCTGACTTTTTTTTTTTAAACAAATACATATACATGGAGACATGCAGACTCCATTGATTACCATTGGAAGTGACTACAATACACTGTTATTTGTTGTACAGTTAATAGCGTATTCTTTACAGCAGGCCTGCTTTACAGGATGTTGTAGAACAAACCGCAGCTTTTTTGTGGCTGTTGTTATTCTGGGCAAAGTTACGTTCTGTACCCTGTCACTGCTTTCTCAACGGTCAACTCTCAATACCAGTGTGGAAACCAAGGCGGTCGCTTCTGGGATCGAACCCGGCACACGAAGCTAGTTGGTAACGCCTGCGCCACAGAGGCTGTTATATAGTGCATACAAAGCCCAAGATATAACTGTGCAGACAATAATTCAAAAAGAACTCCCATACGGCGCTAATCACATATTTTACTGGGAATAGGCGCTCAATGAACGAAATGATTAATATCACAGTAGATGCCTTTGCTTTCCTGAAAATTTCCAGGTACCAATTAAGACTTGGTCGACCACAGAAGCCACGATACTGAAACAACTCCCACATCCAAATGGGGTCGAATATATTACTATCGGACTGTGGGGCAAGTTTACTAGCCACTGTGCCAGCCAGAACACGTACCTCTATAGCAGTACAGCTGTACACATCACACATGCTGATACCTTTACGGACAACCGCAGGAAACCAACACGGCGAAACTCGGTTGTGCCACAGGCATTGGAGGTAACTGGTTACGGGTCCGATCAGCTACACAAGGTGACAGAACGGTTCCTTTTTTTTTTTTTTTTTATTTTTATTTTACCTTATCTCAGGTACTCCTAGATTTTGTAGAGAATTCCCGGGCAAGTCATATTATCTATTGGGGGAGGGGTGTTGGTGTTCATTTTACATTTTAACACCCCCACACTGTTGAACTTTCCCGCCTATTCTCGGGGTTACCGAGATATAGTGTGAAATACAAGAAAAAAATCGACAGGACAACAATGAATATGGCTGGTTTCAGACGGTGACATTTCCCATGTAGGTTACTGGGGGCCGCTTGGAGTTGGGGGAGGGCACATCTTCCTGAGGAGAGAGGAACCAACAATCTGCACACAAATAAGCGTAGGGTTTGTAAAATTAATGTGCAAGAAAAGCTCAAGTTCTGAACAATATCAAAGTCCAAAAGTGGACGAATTACCACAGATCTCCGTCAAAGTTTATAGCCGGTGATCATGAAGAAGAAGAAGAAGAAACACAAAAGATATATCTCCAATAGAACTGACAGAGATCAGTACAGACCTGAATACCACGTAGCCAGCTACATGATGATGATGAGCACGGCATACACAACCGCTTTGCTCGCCACCACATTGATAACGTATTTTTGAAAAGGCCTTTCGTTAGCTGCCCACGAAACTCCACATCCGGCCCTCGGCAAGAAAACCGGTAAGAATCTCAAGGCGGTGCTGTCAGCCTCTGTAACCCCCGTCAATCAGCGCTCCCCAAACTCTGCAGGCGAATGGCGATGCAGATGGGGCGAATATGTGAATAGGACCACCTTATCTTCATGTGCCGTGCCGGTAAGTGTTTGTCGGCTTCTCAATTTTCGCCATCTCAAATGATTACCATTTACAAAAATGATCTTAGCTCCCAGGTCGACCCGGCCTGAGTGTGTACCAGGTGCAGTCCTGAGAAGTAAAGGCGGCTGGCGCCATGCTGACCACATCACCCACCAAGTGCCGATTGTTCTGTAAAAATATAGGTCGATCCCTATATTCCCAAATACGCCTAAAGGCGTTGAAAAGGGACTTTTACTTTACAAATGATTACCAGAATCACAGATCAGTTCAATGTTCTGGTCAGGAAAATACATCTGGCCAGGCCATTCAGGTAGTTATCTCTTTGCTGTCCTCTTTCCGTCAATCCTGCAGGCTGTGACCAAATTCTTAATTTCATATCTTCCATTTGCCTTTTTAAAAAATTCTACTATTTTGGTGGGTTTTTTTTTTTTAAAACTATTTTAATTTTATCTTTTCGTAATATTCTTTGCATTCTCTTTAGAACGCCACATCTGTGTTGCGAGTCCATGTTTTTTCACACCGACTGATTACTGTTCGTGTGGCATGTAACACTTCAGGTTCTACATAACACTTGAAGACTCTTTTTCTCACTGCAAGTAACATCTTATTGGTGAGAATCTTTTGTATCTTGCTTAAGGCTCCCTTTGCCATGGCGATTCTTGTTCTCATTTCTGCATGGTACCTTGCATCAGATGCTATGACTGTTCTTAAACAGATGTACCTATTGACCTGCTGAATACGACAACCCTAACGTCTCATGTGCAGCAACAGTCCTTTAGATGATAAAAGCAAACTACTTATGCCATCCCTCAAGAACAGACCCACAACATTGCTGTTGGTGTTCCAGTAGAGAGTTTGTATTGTTGTTATTGTCATCTCTGTTGTACTGGTTTTCATTTCACTCTTCTCTACTATCAGAGATCCGTTACTAGACTTTGGCAGCAGGGTCAGGGAATGCCTTTAGCTGCGATTTTCACTTGTTAAAGGTTAGTCGCGTATCCTTTACAGGACGTTGCAGAACCAACCCCAGCAGCGCCCGGCTGTTGTGTGGTTTCTCTCTAGGCAAAATTTACGTCCAGTAGTTTGCCATTAGTTTATGGACGGTCGGCTCTCTGATACTACTGTCGAAACCAACGCAAGGCACTTGTTTAAGGCCACCCCCCAAAAAATCACATCAATTCTCCACAACACACCGAAACTGAACATCAATGATTCCGTGAAAACAGGCTGAGAGCTCCCGAACTTGGGGAAACATCTACAAACAGGGAACACGTGTCAGGTGTAATCTGTCATACCTGACGGGCGGAGACGAGTGTTACCTGGATCTGTTACATGGACACAAATAGCCAAATGCCTGGCTGGGTTAGATCAACTACGCGCCCAGGGACTGTTGCTCTTCAATTTCATGGGGTCAGGCCGATGGATGGACGGACAGATAGACAGAAGGTACAGGTAATTCCAAATCGTCTTAGTTTGTCCGCCAACTGTGTCTATTTGCTAAAGAGATCAGATATTTTGACTTCTTTGATCTGTTTTCAACCCTAAAAAACGGGGGGGGGGGGGGGGGGGGGGGGGGGTAAATAAACATCGTTCAGCTGGCCCTTCGTATCCTTTTTAACTGGCCTTCCCTATCCTCTGGCAATGTCCTGTAGTTAACTTCTGTTGAACGCATTTTCGAGAGAGAGACAGAGAGAGAGAGAGAGAGAGAGAGCTCACAAAAATATCCGTATGCAATTATCCTGGTCCTGTTACAAAGCGAAAGAAAACTTTACCAGCCACCCAGAGGAATGAATATTCTGGAAAAAAAAGAAGTCATAAACATGACTTCTCAAGATATACTTGCAGAAATAAACTACGAAGGGAATGAACAGCGCAGACAAAGGCACAAGTCATGGCGATGTTTATTTGAGCCAAACCGCCAAGCATGTGAAAGAGGGTCACCGGGTGGCTGATAGTAGAGGCGCGATAAGACGCATGTACACCGACAACCTGTGAAATGGAAAGTGTACGGAGCAGTCTATGTTTAGCAGAGTTGATTCACCACTGCAGCCAGTCTCTCCTTGTTAAAGGCGATTGTCGTAGCCTGTACAGTGGTAACCGCACGAACAAGAGAAACATCACAATACATTTACAAAGGTGCTGAAGCCACGTAGACTGCTTTGTGTGTAAACTGACGCTTAGCCGCGAAGTTAAATTATAAAGGAAGCTGTTTAAAGGTTGGGGGGGGGGGGGGGGGGGTTGACTTCACTGCACCGAGTTATACCCCACATGGCTCAGTCTGCAGAATGGCTGGTTGCCTATCGAGGTCGTCCCATTCTATCGAAGCACGAAGCTGTAGCTCTGGAGGCGCACGTTATCTCATGTGCACTCATGAACTGAAGACAATGAAACCGAACTCAGAGCCAGAGCAACATAAGCTGAATATATGAGAAACAAGAAAGTATCCAACTAGATGGTGCTGCAGGGGTCACTAGACGATTATCGTTTGAAGCGTGGGTGTGGGTGTGCTTGTTTTTAATGCCCAGTATTTTGTAAATTTGAAGTCAACGACTTTTGATTCTTTCAGACCGGAAAGCCAGAATTGGGCCACAAAAATTTCAAACTGTAATTCTGAGTTGCCAGTTTTTACGTGACGAATAGTTGACTAAATGCTTGCTTCCTGTTAGTAAAGTTAGTTGTACTCATCGATATCCATCAATCAGGTGCCGTCTCCACGATAAAGGTAGGCCGTAATGTCTGTCATCCTTTTCTGACTGCATGTCTGGTTGATTGTTCCCTTGACATTTTACTTTCCCGCCTTCAACACTATTCCCCATTGATCTTCTTACACTGATATAGCTTTCAAAAACGTGCCAATAAATCAGATGCTGTCTTATATTTTAACCATCAGAAATCACCATAAACCAAGCGTAATGAAGAAGCACGACCGTCGCCATGGTTTCAATAAGACATTTCTTCAATGTAACCAAGATAACCGAACTCCACTGGTCTGCCAGAGGGGCAACATTCCTGTTTGTAGTCCCCAGAGCATGTTAAGGCAAAGACACTCGTAGTGTCAACTCCAGCTCTGGGGTTTTTTTTTACTGGATAGTATATGTGCTCAACTCTGTGACTGACCAGAGCCTAGAGTCAAGAAGAGAGACAGACACGGCAGCAAGAACAGCGACGTGTAGGCTCAAGCAGCCATCTACTCCCTGATCCGGGTGGGTTCTATGTTCTATGGTCCGGGTATATAGTGGAAAAGAAATTCCCTTGAAGTCCATCGTGTCGGAATTGTCTGCCAGTGTCCCTCTGCCACCTGCCAACAAAGTCTAACATGTGTCCGATAAACCAACCGTAAGCTTGCCACTTGGTCGTCCAGGTAAGCTGACTGCTCTAATTATGCTACCGCGACGACTTAGTATCTCACAGTACCTTTTGCAAAGTCACCAATTCGTCTTGTCCCTGCCCGATAACATCCGGTAATACCTGCAGCAGGAGAAAATCAACGCTGAGCCTCATGAACTCGGGACCACTCTCTGAAAATGTCTAGGTGCTCGTGGGCCGAAACATTTGTCGACAAGAGATTACTTCTACTGATGATTGGCAGACTCATGCTGTACGTGCTCCCCTGAGGAGTTTCTTCTTATCTGCTGTTGCTAGGCTTGCAATAAAAAATAAGGCTAGGTATGTATCAGCTTCATTGCATTCTGCCATTCTTGCAGACATCTGCTGGGCACGACATTTAGGCTAGAGACCTTCTAGGGGTTATCTGGTGCAATGTCTTTATCTTTTCTACATGTCTGAGCTGCCTGCTCGCGCGTGTACACACACGGTGCTGTAGAACCCACGTGTCCTGTGTAGATGAAGCTATTTTAAGCCTGTGGTCTAATGATAGCCACACTCCCAGCCCTGCCCAACAGAACAGATAAGTTATCCCCTGGTCTCACAGGTGACAGACGTATGTAACATGTCAGGATTGGAGGTATTCTCAACGTTCACCTTGTGCTGGGCATTCATCACCACGTGCTCTAGTTTTCTCCTTCTCATGACATGACCAAAAAATGCAGAGTGCCTCCTAATGCAGCAATCAGTTCTCTTCGTGGGCCAATATCTCTTAAGACATTATTTGTTTTTAATCTGTCGAGAGTGTTCTCGTTATCTGTCTACAAACCCATATTGCTGCACCTTCGACATGTTTCACTAATCGTCCAACTGTCCATGACTAACTTTCGTATGTCAGGATATAATTTACCAAGAAAGACAGCATATAATATTCTTTATTTTGTAAAATGCTGTCTGTGTTTGAGCTAATTTACATTTAACTAATTGCTTTAATATACCTTTCATCTGCTCTTATCCGGGTACCCATGTGCTTCTGTATGCAGACAGGTAAAACGGCAGTTAAATAACTGCTGCAAGAGTAAGCAACATATGCTGAGCAGCACGACAGTTGTGACCCATGCAAGAGCCTTTTGGAACACACTGCAAAATGTCAACAAATTCTGACAAGAGCTATCTTTCAATGTATATAGGTTAGTGCCTGCAGCTGTGGAAAGATCGTCACGGCTGAATGTGTCGGCCAATAAAATAGCGATGTTCTGACAAACATTGATTATATTATGGAATGCTGGGACGGTGCCTCAACTGATTGGATGAACTTCGATTTCTGACGGACTTTGGAGCACTGAGAGTAAACGCGTATTATAATACGGACGTGGCTGAACATTGGTTTACAAGCATCCACGTACCAGGGCTCAAATTACTTTGCGAGCGGTTGTGGCTTTTGGATGGTGGTTGGAGAGTTCCACGGGGAAGAGACTGGGACTTCGCCACATAATCCCCAAAATAGCAGTTTTAGAAGATATCCACTACAGTGGAAACGACAACAAGGAATGTTAACTGCCGGCCGCGTTTCTCCGACTGATGTCATGTCTACCATCACTGCTCATCGACTGGCTCATCAATGTCATGACAAAACATGCCAATGACTAACCCCCTTGTCTGCTGTACTGGTACTACTGCGTTCCAATTTCCATTCAAGCGGGATTTCTTAAAAAGATATGTGCTACCAGATTAATACAGCCTACAAATGTGTGCCGTGAATTGTTCACTTGACACACATTCTATCACTGGGAGACCAGACAGAGCGAGTCAGTGATAGTCTCATTGCAATAGGACGGGTGAATGAGTCACATGCCCGCACACACACAGATACACCAAACGCATCTCTAGCTAACGAGTCTGTTGTTTCTTTACCAGGGTAGGAACGGGGGAAAAATGTGGAGTTGTTTATACAAAAAGGAATTATGTGGAACCTGACCTATAGGACAAATATGTGCACTAAACCACGACAGCCGTGTACACATTCCTGGTGGCCGAGGGTGGGCCAATGAATGGACCGTGTCATCATATGTCACTGTCAGCACAGTGGGTCAACACTGCTGCACGGTCCCTGTATAATATAACAACACATCTCTAAGGTAACCCTCCAGCGCCCCCCTTGGAGGCAGACGGGGAAGAGAAAGGCGCAGATTGTTCCCTCAAATGATCACATTAAAAAGTAAGCAATGAATGTGCCCTCAAAGAGCAGTTGGAAAGCTGTGTTGTCTTTACGTCCGAGCTGAGATACCTGCATGCGCCTTACGACCCAACACATTCCATTCAGGTAAAACCCTAATTAGTCGCCTTCTACCGCAGGTAAATTATGAAGCGGTGTGCCTAATGCTGTGCTTCAGATGGGTCCTTGAACTAACAATGAGTGATGCATGTACATGAAAAGAAAACAATACATCCCAAGAGAGCTAATTTCACGCTAAATAAGTAATGACCCTGCGAGCATATGGCCACAGGACGGGAAACACAAGAGAAGTCACGCGACCACTTACCTCCATTGACATGAACTTCGTACAATGCATATTTGTTCTGAGAGAGCATGCGCATGTCTGGGCGGAACTTCTCGATCAAAACATCGATGACCTCTCTGGTGGTGGCTGTGCTGGACACCCGGATACATTTGGTGATGACGTTGGCGCCGATACCTCCCTGGAAGAAGAACCTCACCACGCCATGAAACTCCAAGTTCTGCAACAAAAAGAGGCAGTCGGTGATACAACAATACGGCAGGAGAATTGGAGCGATGCGTGCAGACATACAACAATGCCGCCTGAGAAGGGGGGGATGCGTGCAGTTATAAGCGTCCGTTCAGTAACGCCTGTCACTATTTAAACTGTTATTACTCTACAACAACTGTTAGAAATAAACTGTTGCAAAGTATTGATTTACTGATTTATGAATCGACACAGCACACTGGGCACACCTACAGTATAGTCTCTAGGAGCAAATGTCTTAGAGTTTTGGATAACTGTTCCCATAGCACACTGACTATACACACGTCTTTCTCTTTCACTCATACACCCCTCCTTGCCCGATCCACACTTAATTCCTCGTTGAGACACATGTCTAAATCACAGCTCAGAAGACTCGCGTTCTGAAAGGATCAATAAATCTGCAAAGAAACAGATGGGCCTTAAAGAGAATCCCATCTGGAAGCGATGCTATGGGACCTCACGGAGTTCTGGTTCGATATATGGGAGTGGGATCCATCTGGTTACAATTCTTCTTGCAACAGTCCGAAACTGTCATTACAAATGAATAAACTGAGCATGCAGGTCGGTCTTTTATCTGCCGGGTGATCCAACAAATTATGCCACAGGCAATTCAGTAATGACAGCAGGCAGGATTTAGACAGTGCTACTCCACAGAAGACCAGACAACTTACCTTTCACAAGAAATTGAGGATGCCTTCCAGGAAAAGAAGCTAGTGCTAACGGCATGGATAGATCTGAAGAAAGCCTTTGACAAGGTCTGGAAAGAAGGTCTACTGAAGAAACTGAGAGACTGCAGGGTGAATGGGAGTATGTACAAATGGGTCAAAGCATACTTGTATAACAGAAGATCCCGAGTACAGATAGGACTTAAGAGCAAGAAAGTTTTGCTGCGCCATGGCGTCCCACAAGGAGGTGTCCTGTCCCCCACACTCTTCCTAGCCTATATCAACGACCTGCTTTCTGAACTACCCCATGGAATTAAAGCTGCAATGTATGCTGATGACTTGGTACTCTGGTGTACAAATGAAAATGCGACAGTGGCCACCAGACTGCTACAAAGAGCCATAGATGCAATGGCTAAATGGGCCGACAAATGGTGTGTCAGCATCAACATAGGCAAATGCAGCACCACTCTCTTTACCCTTTCTCCTAAACAAAAATCAGGCGCCATGCACATAAATGGAGTACCCCTGAGAGAGGATAAGGAGCCCACATACCTCGGCGTAACGTTTGATGATAGATTAACATGGAGAAAACACATCAACAAGGCAGCAACCAAAGCCAGAAGGAGGGTAGCCATTCTGAGAAAACTAAGTGGAACCACATGGGGTGATAGCGGGAAAATACTTAGAAAAGTTTACCAACAAAGTGTTCGACCACATCTTGAATACGGATCAACAGCATGGAGTTCGGCATCAAAAACCACATTGCAAGAATTAGACAAAGTGCAAAATCAAGCACTCAGAGTTACCACAGGCAGTATGAAATCAACACCTATAGCGGTGATGGAGAAAATGGGGATGACCCAAGCACTAAGTGAACGCAGAGACACCAAGATGCTTTTACAAGCAGAAAAGTTTCTTAGTATGCCCAGTCACCCTATGAATGAAAGATTCAAAAATTTAGCTTTGGGACGACTAAAGAGAAGTAGTTTTATCCACCAGGCCAAACGGCTCGGCAGACAAACCACTGATTTACCTGCAACTGATAGATCCTTAAATGCTGTCCCAGAACGGTCCCCCTGGAGAGAGGAGTATAAGTTTCCAATACACATCAAGACTGAAGTGAAAGGGGTATTTGACAAGGAAGAACAAAACAGTGTGCAGCGCAAAACAGCCACCCTCAGTTTACTTGATGATGAATACCCGCAGAACCTTTGGGTCCGTGTTTACACAGATGGGTCAGCAGAAAGCGCAGTCAGAAACGGAGGTGCGGGAGTGTACATTGAGTATCCTAATAATACCAGGGATACAGCCAAATTACCAACTGGAAAGCACTGTCACTACTATGATGCAGAAGTTCAAGCCATCAAGATAGCGGTAGAGAAACTACTAAATGCAGGGTATTTTTCACAACCAGTGGTATTCCTGACAGATGCAAAAGCAGTACTTCAGTCACTCCAGTCTGGAAAATTACCAAGCATACGGACACTATTATCCGAACTAGGCAACCGCTGTAAATTAGTAATGCAGTGGATACCTTCCCACTGTGGAGTTTCCCGGAAACGAAAAAGCTGATAAACTAGCTAAGGAAGGTGCAACTGAAGAACAACCTGACATACCAGTCTCTTATCAACAGAAGAAGAGAATGATCAAATCAATCAGAATGCCACCGAAACTGGCACAAGATGATTACCATATTATGGACAGACCAGAGCAAGTTATTATCCTTCGCCTTAGAACAGGGCACAATAGACTTCGCTCCCACATGTACAACAAATTTAAGATTGGCCAATCGGCCATGTGTACTTGTGGACTGGCACCTGAAACAACAGATCACATCCTTTAAGACTGTCCCATATTCAACGCTTTCAGGCAAAACATTTGACCAAAAGAGACACTTGTGGAAGTCAAACTTTACGGGCCGCTTAGTGAATTACAAAAGACAGTGAAATTCATACAAGAGACGGCTTTGCAGATATAGACAATTTATTTCATGCGAACGAAAGAAGAAGAAGAAGAAGTAATGACGTAAGTAATGACTAAACGGCACATGCGAATGTTGTTTTGCTATTATTTGTAAAGTTGACATTCAATTAAGATATGCTTTACAAAATAAACACAATGCAGATTGAAGAAATTATTAATATCCCCAGGAAGACAAACAACACTTGAGTAAACATGAAATGACATTTACACTGCTGAATTGATTATATACTATTCAAGTGTTTTGTGTGGTGTATGTATGTATGTGTTAAGGATCACTGCATTCGGATATCTAAATAAGTTAAGTGCTCCAGTCTTTTCTCATCAACAAGGCAGTGAAAGGTTTTGGCTATTTTCCGAATAACGGTCCCAAATTATCAAGGCAGAAAATATACCCTAACAGGACCTCAGTCACGTGTCAATTGCGCACTCCTGGGGACTATACCGCCACCGCCGAAGGTATCCCCCACGCTGCTTACGCGGCGTCGATTAGGGCTAAACTAGATGGCTGGGACTCACAGGCAAATAAAATAAAGGCAGCTGCAGGAAATGCGGTAGCTGCTGCTCATGAGTCCCAGCCATCTAGGTTAGCCACAATCTACGCCACGTAAGCGGCGTGGGGGATACCCTCGGCGTTGGCGAAAACGCCGGAAGTGCGCAATTTAAGTCGCCAGAAGTGAGCAAATGACACGTTTCTGAAGACCTGTTAGGTTATATTTTCTGCCTCGATAATTTGGGACCGTTATTCGGAAGATAGCCAAGGTTTTTTTCCCCATCAACAAGACAATGAAAGTGGGTTCTCTCAATGACAAGACAACAAAAGTGTCTTCTTCCACCAGCAAGACAATGAAAGTATCTTCTCCCGCAGACAAGACAAGTGTCTCCTTCCTTTGGCAAGACAATGAAAGTCACTGTTAATGACACCTGCATATCCTGAGATGGAGACTATGTCATTTTACACAAGGATTCCAGAGGAATTCAATTCCAAGGCTGCCAGTGAAACCTGCCTGAACGTCACAGACCCCTTTCGATTAATCATTCTCAATGTAAAACAGAAGTGTAGTTTGCAACTCCAACCAACGAAATACCATCTGTTCCTCCCAATGTGCTTGTGGTTGGGTCTTAGCAATGATGACCTGACCACACAACTGCATCATCATTTTCATCACAGCCGTCATTCCTAGAGGCCTAGGCTGTAATATTACCTCTCATGCATACTGTATTTTGTACACTTTTTGCACAATTTAGAAAGGTTACACAATTCAAAAAGCACTTCACAAAAGAAAACTACGGTCATTTTTCGCGCCATTTAGACTTGGCGGTACCAGCAGCACGGTATCTACAGAAATACGCTTGCCTTCTGCATAGTCCCTTGGGTAACTGTGAGGGTTACTGCGTTCACATGTATAGTTCCACAAATTGAAGAGCGCTAAAATGTAATTAACTTTTTTTTTTTTTTGTTGTTGATCAAATAACAGTGATAACCACTTTCTTTTTTAAAATTATTGTCTTAAGTGCAATTATGTTTAAGCCTCAGTGAAAACGTTTCATAAACGTGAATAAGCACAAGAAATTAAATTGCTCCAACGCCAAGACGATTTTCTTCTTATCCGCCTATGGTGTCTAACTTACCACACTCGATCCCTGCCCTCACATACGTGGCGGTTTTTTTGTTTGGGGGGGGGGCGATTAGAAAGTGTGATAGAGATTACAATAACCATGTCACTGCTTGTCATGATGCAGACGAACACGGTGGATATCATAATGGTAATTTTCAGATGGCCAACCCACTTTTGGCATGCACCACAGAGGAGCAGCGTTCTACTATCGTTTTTTTTTTTTTTAAGGAGCGTCACTTAAAGAAATGTATCAGCAAATAATAATTTAGAATGGAGATGCAAGTCTGTCAGTCCAGAAAATGTATGAGTGGTGTAGGAAGTTTCACAACGGCGTGACTTCTGTGACAGACTGTTTACGACCTGGTCAGGTACGCGCAGTCGTGACCCCAGATCGGTTTTGAAACTTCCTACTCCTTTCTATATCATGGCTGAAATCCAGTCCAGAGCTTTCGCTTCCATTATAAATTTTTGTTTTGCCTTTTCTTCGGCGTCATCATTTTCAGCATACAAATTAGCTCTTGCTAACTGCTGCAGTTCTGTCCTCGTCCTGCCAACATTATTTATCTACATGTAACCCGTAACCTCGGGTTTAATTCATGTCTGCCCCAGCCTCTAAAAGTTACTCATTAAATCCCCAGCCTCAAAACAGTTCCACATTAAATCCCCAGCCGCAAACAGTTACACATTAAATCCCCAGCCGCAAACAGTCA